GTGAAAGAAAAAACCATTTACAATCTTATGAAAATTGAGAACTTTGGTCTCGCAACCAAGGAGGCAGAGCAGTAGGATCAATTTGGTTTCATGTAACTAGAGAAAACAATATTGAAGGTATAACCTTGGGATGAAAGCGCTCCTTTTGATTTGTGGACGTACCTTGCTTCCTTCGCTACCTCCATTCTGGTGTAAGTCGACTCATAAATAGACTTCTAGTGCAACTATAGAAATTAAATGGACAAAAAGATAAAGCTAAATTTTAAGCATTAGTTAGTAACAGCAGAAAAATGGCCTTGAACGCACCAACTACCTCTAAAAGCTATCTTTGCGTATAAAATATGTGTATCCATGAAAATAAGAAGGCATAAAGCTGTCACAAGATACCTTTCCATGGCATGTGATAAAGACACCATTTAGTTTCTAACTGGAGTATTAACAGAGTTACGACCACATTCTAGGCATGTAATCCAGTCGGTTAATTTTTTTGGACCTGAGATAAGTGGGTAAAAACGTGAGCTGTTTGCGGTTTTAACATGGGCGAAGTGTAAAAAAGTGGTCAACTATTATCAATAGACGTGGAGAAACACACGGAAATGTGGGAATAACTGTGGAATAACGGTTTTGTAGCGCAAACATACACCTGAACTCCATAAAGTCCGAATATAATATAATCTGTCTGTCCATTAGGGAGTTCAATTCAGGCAGATTATGACCATTACATCTGACACCTTTAACTAATTATCTAGGTATTCTAAACCTAATTTTTATTTAAACTAACCATAATGTGGAAATACGCCTGAACTAACCCAACACAGTCGGTGAATTTTTTAGACGTAGGCTATTTGGGTAAAGACTTGGACATTAATGTTGCCCTTATTAGGTTAACCTAGCCTGTTGTCCTAAACCTAAATCTTTTCCAAATCTAAGCTGAAACATGCCAGATATCCCATTTAAGAGCATAACACTTCATTAAGCGTAACTTACTCATGAATACTATGTTATTTACCAGTTTTCAATAACTTGCTCACTGAACTTTTCAATGTCACTGGTGCCGTCGCACTCCACTGGTGCTTATTGGTGCTCAAACCCTAACTTGACTTACACAGATTGTGGCAGCCACCAAATGATTTCAAACACATGTAGGGAACCCTGAGTTTGCTGTCAAATTTCATCCTTGTGTTGAGACTACTCAGTAGGACGTTTAGGATTAACCCTAGACATCGACCCCACTATGTTCCTATATCTATGCCTCTATCCTATACTTCAGTCTAAAGTAATGGTAGTTTTTCGTCGAACGTCATGTACCCGAATAGCTGCTCTAGTTTAACTTCGCCCAGATGTGTGCTAGTTTCATAGATGTTGTTAGTTGCATATCACACCAGTTTCCACACGCTGCCTCATTTTGGTTCTTTTGACTTCTTGAATAAATAAATTCATTTAGAGTGGTCGAGGAGGCCACTGGTTGTTTGATATCATTTCGTTTAATTTTGTGTGGTACCTACTAATCATAGCCTTCACTTTCGGATGCCGATTAGAATTGTAGTTATCCAGATACCTAGTTAGCTAAGTAACTCATATTAAACTCTGAAGTGTATGTTACTCTGAACTAGTGACTACGCGGTGATTTCCTTCAGATTTCCAGCCATAGTTGACCTTTCGTCGATATTTTTGTGATTTAGTTTTCTATACAGTAGTGGTCTAAGTTTTCTTCAAATGAATCGACAAAACGTGCTGAATTGACCAGTTGCACCAAATATTTCCACGGGTTCACAACGAAATACGAGGAAAAAATATTCAGATGATTGCTAATGAAGATAATCATTTCAACATCTTAATTTTGCGAAGTCAGCAATTCATTATCAATTATATTATTCCACATTCTTTGAAGTTTCCAATATCTTTTGCGGAGTACTGGCTTTCTTCTTGGCACCATATTCCAAGGTTTTTTATTGTGTAGGTTAGTTATAATACGCAGAAATTTAGGTGGGGGTCTAAAATCGCTATTTTGTCGAGCGTAATGAAACTCTGTCACAGCTAGTTCCATAAATTGTTACCAGTGATTTAAATAAATGCGATCGCAGTTATATCATTTTGCATAACCTATTTCCTTACACCATTCAGTCAATAAATCTAGATGTTCTGGCTGAGTGTATGACCATTGTTAAAATTAAAGCGAGAACTACAATCTTGATGTATAACTTCCAATAGGTTGTGCCAGAGAGTTTTTATTCTTCCCCAATTACTTAAGCGTGTCCATCAGCTGCTTCCCAGCCTTCCTGTCTAAATCTGCTGTGTTTTGAAGCTTCTGGAATTTCGTTTCATCGCTTGGAAGCTAATTCATTTTTTCGATATGTTCTCATATATTCATCATTATTATGTTGGCCCCTTTATCCGTTCCACTAATTGTGTTTTCGTCATTTCTCAATTTTCTCAAAGCTTCTTGATATTCTTTAATCACATTGGTGCTAGAATAAATATTTTTCTACTGTCGACTGGCGTAGTTTTAAACCTAGCAAGTACATCGTATGACGATGGGACCAACTCTTGTTTGTAGAAGCAAGTTTGCAGACTAGATTTTATATCGATTGATTGATGTCGTGCTCTTGGTCGCTATTTTAAGACGCAATGATAATAATACCGACTTGAATTTGTCCAGTGTAAAACTGGAAGAATTATGGTTTTTGGCTTTCTTAAGATTTGATAAGTTTCATTCCCCCTTCCCCTCTGTTTTGGCTAACTCGATTGACATTATCACAGGATTCTGGTAATAAATCCTATGAAAGTTCATTAACTGCGAATTTCCTTCCTGATAAATTTCTTTCCACATCCTACATACGAATTTTTAAAGAGTCCTACTGGTTAAACGCATATTGTTCCCGGCATTAGAATTTTCTTTAGACTTTACTACAATAAAGACACTTCCAGTAAATTTTAGGATATCGATCATTATGTATATAGTCATTTATAATACATTATTTTTGATCCACAAATTCACCTTCATAAGTTAAATTTTTATATATTCAGCTATGTACATTGGAGTAAAGCCTGGAAATCTAGTTGAAGATAATATCGCTCACCTCTATATCTTCATTTAACCAAACTCTTCAGAACGCAATATAATTAGCGAAAATTAGACAGGACAACTCATTTGTTAATGGTACATGGTGTACACTTGGCAGTAAGAGACATCGGTGGCACAGCGGTTAGAACTCTCGCCGACCATGAGCATGGTTCGAGGTTCGATCCGCTGCCGACTCACTCCTGCTGATATATATGGTCGGCCTACAAAATTTGGGCTTCCGATATCCAGACTGAAAATTCCATACTTGTACCAAAAATACAGTGTGGAATCAAGCTGTAACCTAAAATAAATAATAAAGTTCCTTGACTATACATAGGGGCGTGCATCGCTTCACCGGATCCAACTAGGACACGATCCGATTAGCCTTCACTCTATCCTCTATTGCCATGAATCCTATCTAATACCATTTTTATTGACTTCCAAACTACATTACCGAAAAGAGTCTCATGAGTGTCCCTAATAATAGTCTCACCTAAATTGGAATATAAACATCAAGAGCACCAGCTGACTTTCATGCGTCAAGTGGGATTTCTGTCAATCGAGAATTACCTCCAGAACCCTGCTGTTCCTCAAAATGTTTTCTTCCTTCAACATGCTGAGCAGTAACACTATTACTCCAATAACGCAACTGTCAGTCACATTTGTTAGTCAGGTTTTTAAATCCCATCTGGTAATGGTAACTTTTTCTGACTCCATAACCTCTACTGGTGCTTAAAGAGCGACTTCATGTGCATATTATTTCACATTTGGCTATTCGTTTGTTTACTGGTAATTCTTCAAAGTTTTTACAATGACTGCAAGCATTAGTGGGCTAATAAAACAAGAGGAACCAAAATGGTATCATTGTTGATGATGTCTTAGTTTTCAAGATAATACATCAACTTATTTGACCTCACTTCCGAGATACGTAAAAGCAACGAAAATGAATAGAATAAACTAACAGTAGGAAGTGGTTTGTATGGCAGAAATTATATCACTATGGACTAGTGAACATTTTTAAAGTCTAAAAGATGACAAGAAGTAAACAAATTACCGTAGTCAGCGGTTTCGACCCACTCCATAAAGTGTCTCCAACCTCTGATTCTTGGTAACTCGAGGACCCTAGTCAGGCACTATACATCCCTCTATATGAGTCACACTAGTAGTCAATGACCTCATAAATTGGTGCCTTGCTTTTGTATAACCGTCACTGAAGTCTTTTCAAGTCTGATATTAACATAACTGAAAATGTCCTATGCAAAATTTGGTGGCTTGTCATGCACAACGAATACTCTAACCTCCTCAATCAGTGATGTGGAAAAAACACAAGGAATGGCATCAGCTGGCCTATTTAAACTTTTCTGCCTAAACGATAATGGAAAGATGATTCATTAAAACCAATGCATTCAAAATCCTCACATGTGTACAGCTAAAGAAAGATATATCAAAACAACTAACTAGTGCAGTATATAATTGTAGATATGCAACAAAGATTTCGTAGGTAAAACGTTTGACTTTTTAAGCTCTGATTTCTAACTGTGAACGTTTTTACCTCAGAATGACGACGTCCTCAGCTTTAACTGTATTAAGAAATGTCGTACCCAGTGAGTGGCTGAGGCTATGATTCTCACCCTGATATCTGTATTACGTGTTGCTTGTTGGTTATTAGTAGTTTGATGTACAACTGGAATAAGCCTGTCAACTGATTAGTATCTTTGAAGACCAGTGTCATGTGACTAAAAGACCTAAGATACATTCGAAACTTTATCCGCCATTTCAGTGAGATTTTTCAGGTAGTGCTAATATCTGTTGTGTAACCAACTTCCATTCTCCTTTCAGGTTAACGAGAAGATAAGTTACCTCCTTAAAGACACTCAAACATACCTGCATGTTGTATAGTGAAAGGTATTGACGCTGTCCTCTAAGCTCACATCGTATGCCTATGGTAGGTTACTTTAAGGGAAATAACTTTTTCACTTCTAGGTTTCTGTTCTGTGGCTTTTTTCCTATGTCGCGTTATTATTTTATTTACTTGTTGTCATATTTTGCATTGCCGTTGGATTGTTTTATGTTACTGAGTTAGTTGAAGAATATATTGTCACTACAGGGAAGATAATACGTTATACAATATATGCAGAGTTCATACTTCATTCTATTCTGCTTTTAACAGATAATGTTTCTGTATTACTTACATTGACTGGACTGATATGTCACTGTTTTTACATTTCTATGTTAAAAACATTTCCTGCCTTTCAATATCAGTCCTTTAGCTTTTTGGGTAGTACATGTATGTTGATTATTCACCATTTAGTTGCATTTCATGTATTTTTGGGCAATCAAATTCCATTTTCCTATCTTATAGCATATTTCACATTTTTTCTATGGGCTGTTCCCTTTCTTTTTCTTATCTCTTTATCAGCTAATGATTTTGTCTTACCACAAACAGTTGATTTACGATCGTCTTATGAGACTGACTTTCTTTTACATGGTCAACAACAACACGACGTTGTTTCTGCATATTTAAAGCGTAAAAGAAAAAGCCTTTATTCTTTACTTGCTTCTATGCGTGAATTCAGTTTGCCTTTACGTTCAAAAAAAGGTTTCTAACTTTCAATAATTTGTTTTGTATAACTTGATCTAAATAGGAATTACAATGGGTTTGTGATTTCTTGTGGATCTGGCTGGGTGTCGTAATTTGATACTTTTATCTTTTCATAAACCTACTTAGCCTAATTAAAATGGGATGTATTTTCTTTCCATTTGTATGGCAATTGGTGAATAACAAATTATTGAAAGATGATTTTTTTTTCTAATAATAATGGATAAAATATTGTTGCTGCCCAGATATATTACATTCTTTGCATTTCTGCTGCGAATAAGTCGTGTCTAGCAGACAAAACAGTTCGGTGTAGAACTTCGAACAGAATTACGTCAAATCAATTTGTTACACCAAAGTATCTCACAAAGAAAACAATAATAGTCTAATGAGTAAATCTCTGTGTAAACAGACGTATATTCAAAAGGAGATTAGTAAAAGTGATACTTATTTCTCAGATGATTTGGAGTGAGCGCAATTAATCCACCGTAGGTGATCATACGGAATTTTTAGATTGACCTACAGTTAACAACATCCTCAAGATTCCCGTAGAAAAACCACATTACAATATGGTTCAGATCAATAACCATAAACCTTATCTATCCATGTCGCGCTTTGGTCATATCGTGTTTGAAGTTCTCATAACTTCATGCAAAATCAAGAAATGCAAATGATTGGTATTCGCAGATACAATAGTTGGTGAAAATTTATTACCTCATAAATTGCCTTTATGTGCTATTTTATGTTAAATCTCAAACTCAATAGGATGAAGACAACTTCGACCAAATAATCCTAATATTTAATATCTTCGCTTTCAGTAATAGTGTCTAACACAACAAACTGTTATACCGAAAGCTGCTACCTTGACGTGGTGGTCAGGCTTGAACACCGCAATGACCTAATCAAGCTATACTGGCTGAGACTTATGTCTCTTGAGGTTCTACCATGCCAGGCAGGTTGTTTGGATAGCGGTTAAACAAAAAGCAGCTACCCAATCCAACATCATGTCCAATACAAAATTACAAAATTTCATGCCGGATCGGCCGTGGCCCGGATTAACAACGACCGCGCTTCCTGCTGCCGTGTCACAGGGCGGGAGTGATAAATCTGCTACTGAGACACACCAAACAAAAAAGAACGAACAAAAACAGGCCGCGTGTGACCGGCCTCAAGCAGTTGTCCCCTGGGCTCTGCGGTCACGCAACCAACTTCCACGGTGTGGGCAGCCGGGAAGTAACAATCGCCCTCACAATCCGAAATGCACACGAAACCTCTCTATTACTCACTCATCTTTGTCTTCATCTTCATCTCTATCATCTTGCCTTCCTTCCACTGATGCAACTCCTCGACTTGATAGCTCTCCACTTCCTCTCCACTCTGCGTCCACTAAAAACGATGGAAGCCAAAAAACCACCACCGACAGCCTCTTAAAGCCGCGCCACCAATTTCATATAGGAGCTCTTAATGTTAGGACACTTTGCCAAATAGGACAACAAGCATCACTAGCCAAGACCCTGGCATCACGAGCCATTGATGTATGCTGTGTTTCAGAAACACGCATACAAGACCCAAGTGTGGTTATTCACCTAACCCCACCTGGCCAACAGGTTGAATCTGCAAAATTCACCCTGAGGGTGTCAGGAGATGCCACAGCTAGTTCACGAGGATTAGCTGGCGTAGGGATAGCTTTGAGTACTAGGGCAGAAAAGACATTGCTTGACTGGATCCCGGTAGATAGCCGAATGTGTGCTGTCCGCCTGAACGGATCAGTAAGAAGGAGGAAGGACTGCACTACTCGCCGATGCCTTTTCGTAATCTCCGCCTACGCCCCCACTGACTGCAGTTCAGATGAAACGAAGGATGAGTTCTACCAAAAGCTGTCTAGTTTGGTGGAAAGGCTAAACGCTCAGACATAGTCGTTCTAGCTGGTGACTTTAACGCTCAAGTAGGGAAATTGTGTCAATCTGAGAAGGATGTCGGTGGCACCTATGGAGCTCCGTGCCAGCGAACCGACAACGGTGACCGTCTCCTACAGTTCTGCTCTGATAATCATTTGTTTCTTGTAAGCACTAACTTTAAACACAAGGAGAGACACTGTTTGACTTGGAGACCCCCTTCATCAAACCAACGCTGGACACAAATAGACCACATAGCAATAAGCTATCGTTGGCGTGGGTCGGTAGGAGATTGTCGCTCCTTCTGGAACACGTGCGTAGATACCGACCATGCACTGGTCCGCGCTCGGGTGTGCTTACGACTGAACGGACGTAGGAAACAGCTGGCGGTAAAACCATCACGTCCCCAGCTCGATCAGGAAACTAAATCCGTATTTCAGGAAGAACTAGCTAAACACATATCTGTGTTCGACAGCTGTGCTCACCCTGAAGAAGCTTGGAAAAATATCCAGGCAGCCATAGATACAGCTGTAAAAGCTGTGAATAAGGTAAACCCAAAGGTGAGTAAAAACCACTGGATCTCCACCGCCTCATCCGAACTGATAGATGCTAGAAGACTTATTCCGGCGAGCTCCGAATTCAATGAGGAGCGAAAGCTGCACAAGAGGAAACTTACGAAAAGTCTCCGCAAGGACCGTGAACAGTGGTGGGCGACAAAAGCCAAAGAGATGGAGAAAGCTTTGAGGATAGGCAACACCAGGCAACTCTTTGGACTCATCAGGGAAACGGGTGGGAGAAGACAAATCATTAGTGAGACAATCTCGGAAAAAAATGGCACTATAATTAGCTCACAGGATAGACGACTGGATCGTTGGAAAGAGCATTATGAGGAGCAGTTTAATTTGCCCACAGCCACGCTCAACCTTCCGAGCATCCAACACCTCCCTGAATGGGATATAGACACAGGTCCTCCGTCACTAACTGAGGTTACTAAAGCTGTCACCAATCTGAAACTAGGCAAAGCAGCGGGACCTGATGGAATGACGCCAGAGGTATTTAAGTACGGTGGAGACAGCTTACTGTCCGGATTAACTGAGGTACTAGGCAGCGTCTGGGAATCAGAAGAAGTCCCATCGGGTTGGTGTAAGTCACTGATTATCCCCATATACAAGAAGGGAGACAAGTCTTCCTGTGATAATCACAGAGGGATTAGCTTGACTAATATAGTATCTAAAGTCTTAGGCTCAATAATCATGCGTAGACTGAGTGGTGCTCGGGAAGCACAAACACGAGAGAGCCAGGCAGGCTTTAGACCAGGAAGAGGGTGTATTGATCATATCTTCACCCTCCGACAGATTCTAGAACATAGGCATTCCTACCGGCGTCCAACAGTCATTATATTTCTTGACCTAAAGGCAGCATTCGACTCTGTCGATCGGGAAGTTCTCTGGAGATGCTTGGCTGTAAAGGGAATTCCGAGAAAATATATTGCACTGATTAAGGCACTCTACTCGTACTCATACAGCCAGGTGAGGGCTTACGGCGAGCTGTCATCTGAACTGATGACGACCAGTGGTGTCCGTCAAGGATGCCCATTATCTCCTTTTCTATTCAACTTCATCATAGATGTGTTAATGGACTTAACCCTAGGTGACTTCAGCGACTCAGGGATTGACTTGCTACCAGGGAATAATCTCGTTGACTTGGAATATGCAGACGATATAGTCCTTCTAGGCGAAGACGCTGACGAAATGCAGAGTCTTCTAAACACCTTGAGCCGCAATCTACGAATGTTTGGCATGCGATTCGCTCCCGCCAAATGCAAGATGATGTTACAGGACTGGACTACATCGACGCCTAGTTTAAAAATAGGAAGTGAAGTGGTAGAGCACGTTGACCGCTTCACTTATTTGGGAAGTACCATCAGCCCCAACGGGCTGATCTCTGACGAAATCTCAGCACGAATACAAGGGGCTCGTTTCGCATTTGTTAGTTTACGCCGACTCTGGCGTAGACGAGATGTTCGACTATCGACCAAAGGGCGGGTGTACTGCTCATCAGTCCGCTCCGTCCTCCTTTATGGTTGTGAGACCTGGCCACTGAGAGTGGAAGACATGAAAAGACTAGCTGTCTTTGATCATAGGTGCCTGCGTTCTATTTCCCGTGTAAAGTGGCATAATAAGGTGAGCAACATGGAGGTTAGGCGTAGAGTTCTAGGTAAACAGGGGAAATCAATCGACGAAGTCGTGAAGCTACAAAGACTGAGATGGTTAGGACATGTGTTACGTATGCCAAGCCATCGCCTCCCTCGACGAGCTATGTTAGCGGATATAGGGTCAGGCTGGAAAAAAGCTAGCGGCGGTCAAACAAAAACTTGGCATCAGTCAATGAAATCCACAACAGTTGGTCTAAGCCACGTAGGAAGGTGTAGACTTCCAGGCTGGGGTCCTCGGGACGGTAAAAATCTATGGTTGGAAACAATTGGTGACATGGCTCAAAATCGTTCTCAGTGGCGCAGATGCATCCACTCCCTGTGACTTATGATCTTCAATGAAACTGTTTTGTATTTCTTTATTACTCCTTTGTCTCACACCTCTGCTCACTGTTTCTATTATGCTTTTCTTGTACTTTCTTCTCTTGCTTCGCGTGCTACACGGAATGTGGCGACTTGAACTTCCGCACATTTGTGCAAAGTTCTATGTCGAAAACAGACAGTTATACAGTAAACGCACTTTTATGGTGGATAGCTAGATACCTCTGTTAGAACCTAGCCAACGACCAGTACAAAATTACTGATGCAGCTTCTCTAACAACGAAATCAAACAACATAATCGGCCACTTTGCTCCTAATTTTCTTTTTGATTTACAGCTTGATTCCACACTGTATTTTTGGTACAAGTATGGAATTTTCAGCATGGATATCGGTAGCCCAAATTTTGCAGGCCGACCATAGATATCAGGTGTGTATCGGCGCGGGCTCGAACCCCAGACCATGTTCATGGTCAGCGAGAGTCCTAACCACTGTGCCTGAATTAACAATTAACTCTCACTAGTATAGTAACACAAGCATTATGGTCGGCAGCGTAAGGTCATTCAGTAATCTAAGCAAGTCTGCG